CAATGAAAACTTTGTATAAAGAGAATCATAAATCTCTCAGTGTACTTCACATTGGCATGTAACTTTCATTAAATTGTTTTTCTTCTATAAAACACCACAGCAGCACAATACAGTAAAATAAAGTGAATTAAAAGGTGGAGAATGGGGAGCGTTTTACTAAAAAAAAAATTTCACAATATAAATATTTAAAGCAAACGCCTCTAATACCAGAGCATCTAAAAAAAACTGCAGTTCATAAGTGAAGCACATATTCAAAGTAAATAAGATGTTGAAACAAAAACAAATCAAAATGGCAAGCAATAAAGTTTTAAAATAATATACCATATGTAAGTGCTCGTTTGTTTAAAAAGAAAAATCTCATACGAGACAGAATAAGCATGTTAAAAGTTTTAAAGGACAGTTAATTTTAAGTTTATTATCCTCTTTTACTACAGATGCTGAAATGTCAGTCAAATGTCAAGCATCAACAAAGATCTGTGGATCAATTTGGGAGGGCAGTTAAGAGATCCACTGTTAATGACTGACAGCAGCTCACAAAGGATCGAAGTGTCAACTAAATGAATAATGCAAATGTGGGCTGCGCAAACTGTTGGCCTACAGTAATAACTGCTATTTAAAAAGACTTTGGTGAAAACAACAAAATGTTTAGAAAGTAAAAGCTTTCTGCATCTGAATAGAAAAATATTTTTTATGGTAATGCTCTAAAAGAGGCTAGAACAAACAATAAGGATACTCAAATGACAATTATGTGTAAAATTGCTGTTTAATGAGGGAAAGTCCAACTTACCAGTCTCTTTGACATGGGTGTCTTGTCTAAAGCTGGTAAATGCTGCTCTAAGCCCAGTACAATGCAGTTTGCAATAATGGTGGCAAGAATCATGTACTCAAATGGAGTGATGGTGTTAAGGAAAGAGTCCATGAGATACAAATAGATGGAATTCATTCACCGCAATAATATGATCATCAAACAATTTTGGAAACTAGTGCAGAAGTTAATGAAGAACAGGTGTATCTATGACGCAATTCACACAGCTCTTGACTGAGCCGTTTGGTGCCTGAGACGAGGCGAGAGAGTTTTTATCAGTAATAATGAGCCACCCAGATTTTATTGGACAAATATTTAAAATGCACCCTACTACAACCCCACTATCAGTTTTCCACGAGAATCACTGATAAAATTTCTCCCACTTCTTCTCGGGTACCTTATGGCTCAGTCAAGAGCTGTGTGAACTGTGTCATTCCTCACAGAGCTGCTGGTTAGTGGGGAGGAGGATAATTATTTCCCGTGGCACTCCCCTAAACACATTTGCGTCAGACTAGTAGACTCATTGTAGTCTGAACATAAGGAGAACGTCAATAAATGGAGAATTTCATTATTTATACTTCTTTAGCGCTTGAAATTAAACCAGTTCTTGAAAACTGGGACAAAACATGCAACACAAAAAAAAAATGGTTTATTTATCAAGGAAGTATTATGGACTAATTTATTTAGCTTCAGCATGTTCAGAGGTATTCATGTATGTTTGGGTACAATTTCCATTTCTCATGAAATGTGTTTTACCCATTAAAGTTAAAACAATAAAAAAAAGCCCACCCCGCCATATCTCAAGTTAACAGTGATTAGCAATAGTTTGTTTGATGAAACAGCGCCTTGCTTGTTTGTTTGTGACTATGACTACAAACAGAAATTGATCACATATTAAACTTTTTGTTGGCCTTCTCATTTAAATAATACAGACAAGTTGGACACCAAATGTGAAATGCCCAGCAAATGTTGTTTGCCAGACAAACAAGTTGTGAAATGTTGCCTTGTTTGTTTATTAAATTTTAATGAAACAAAATCTAAATTCTAATCTTTATTCTCTTGTGGTAAAACTGCATTTTACATTCAGGCGCTCAATAAGCCTCCATCACTTCCACATTTCCCTGGACGCGTTTTAAAGGCGTAGGTGTTTCAGCACCTTGGAAAGCGACTAAAACAACCCCTCAGACTTTTTCAAGTGAAAGGGAAATACTCAATTTCGCGAAATCATTAAGATTCGGAACGATTCAGATTTGAGGACCGCCGGTGGGGACTCGGGCATGATATGAACGCGCCCATAGCTTTAAAGCACTAACCTGTTCCGCTTAAATTGCCTATCAGCTTTATTGCTTTTTGACTGCATCCTACGATTTAAGCTGCGAATGCTATAATATTATAACGTAAAGACTTAGCAGGTATATCTTAGGTTACGTTATGACTGGTATTCCCAGGGGCAAGTCTCCGGAGACTGCACAGCAATTTAGGCAGCCTAACGCAAGAGCTGTTTCGGTTGCCATGAGCGACAGAGAGGTTCGTTTCCTGACTGAAAAGAATCAATACCGCAGTGACTGGATGTGAAAGGGACAAAAACGTGGCATTTTACATCACGACACTTGCGTTAAATATCACATACAAACAATTATGAATTGCATTTCGCATGCCAATCACAAGCTTTTCCAGAGGCATTCGTGAGAGCAACCCAGTAGGACCTTGTAATAATGTTTGCTCCATCGAGACAACACCCTGCATGCTGCATGTCATTTAAACCCAATAAGAGTGAAAGTAACCGCCACGATATTAACACAACTGCTTACGGTGTTGCATAAAACGATACCTCTATTTCCGCCAAAACTTTTGCGACCTTAACTGCTGTTTTACTAAGACTGATGGGTGAAGCAGAATTATTGCTGGTTACAAACTGGCATATTTTGCCCTCTTACAAGTGCCTGTGATTTATGTAAAGGATATGGCCACTCTGTTATTTTCTTTGCATATTTCCGAATGATATTATCTTCGCTGAAGATGAACAGGGATCGGTTGACTGAGAGACAGTTCTGTTTGACCGGTATCGGGTTGTATATGGCCATTGTCCGGGCTCTTTGGGCCATTGTTTGCTTATACATCCTCTGTCCGCCCGGGGGGCCTGGCTGCCGGCTGACCCCTCTGCCTGGACCCGCTGGAGAGCCACCGCCTCCATACCGGGTCGGGAGATCGTCTTCGAAGCGAGCCATTCTAGAAACGCGCAGATTTGACTATAGAAATCCAAATTCACATCAGACAGAGAGTAAAGAAGAAGCATCACAACGCGCGATGTAGTCCCAGCCACGAGTTCTTCTCATCCGTACAGGTCTGGCATCCACACAGAGAGTTGCTTAAAGTATTCCAGCCATTCAGAGCACATCTAAACGCATCTCTGTAACGAACCGATCGCCAGTTAAAGTTTATCGCTCCACGTTACACAAGCCACCAAAAACCGAGCGCTCATATCCAGCAAGGACCATTTTCACGCCTCACTCGAAGGATTTAGATAATCAGCCATGTCATGAATTGAGTCCAGCCAGCGAAGGTGCCTTTACAAACTGTGTTGCGATTGAATGGAGTCAAGCCCACAGATTGTAATTGAGCCAGCTTCCCTGCGCTGTTGCAGATGCTTCGATGTTTTCCTCCGATCTCGCCTGCGCTCTTCGCATTTAACAGATGATAACGCGAGCGGTCCGTCGCCTTCGCGTTTATATCGTTGAAATGAAAACGCGCAAACGATATGAACAGCCTTTTTCCACTAGACCGTAGCCTGGCGATGAAATTTTAACCAATTTCTGCAGCCGCTGCTTCTTCTAAATCACATCACGTTACTGTAAAGCAGCCTGTCAGTGGCTCCACCTGTGCCGCTACAGTATCCATGGCACTGGGGCAAGAGGGGAAAATAAGGCATGTACCCTTCCAGACCCCAGCAGTGAATTAAACAGCTCCTCAAACCGTTTGTACGGGTGCTTTAAAGCAAGTTAAGAAGAATTGGGTACATCTGTGAGGGATGGGTGCGTCTGCACTTCCCACATCTGCAAACAGATCGTTGATTTAGAAAAGGGTGGAACCGGCGGGTGGAGAAAATCAGGACATTATCTCGTGACTGACGCCTTTCGGAGGGTGCACGGTCTCTTTCACATTTACGTTAACCCTTCAATGGGGCTGTGCAGTTTGTAGTCCGAAAGCCCGGAAGAAAATTAGCGTTTTTTGAGACATGGGATCCCTCGGGAATTTCTAATGGTTTTTTTTAAATGGAGCTTTCGATTTGAGTAAATTAAGGTCGGTGTTTTACATTAGCCTGCTTAAAGATACTTTCACGTTTTGCTCTATTACATAGATTACGTAACCTCTTACTTCCTTGATCAATTAACTTCATAGCAACTTGTAATTTATGTTTTTAAAGGATTTGAGGTTGATGTATGATTGCATGTCATTTATTTGGTAGAACAAAACGTGAAAGTGTCTTCAAGTAATGTTAAGCACAGTCAATACTTCGCTCAAAACTAATTGTGTGCTTCAGTGAAATTCAGTGTGCTTATGACTACAAATATTGATGTAATGACCGAACAGATGTTGTTTTTGAGCGCATTAGTTTTTACCTGTTTTTAGTACAGAATATCCAATAAATACTACACTTTGTTTGTAAATACTACAACAAAATATTTTTACATACAGTATATATGAATACGTGTATACACTGCCGTTTTAGTAGGTTTTTAATGTTTTGGAAAGAAGTCTCTTATGCTTAATTTACCTGATAAACAGGAATGTTGTGAAATATTATTGCAATTTAAAATAATTGTTCTACATTTTAATATATTTTCAAATGTAATTTAATCCTATGAAGAGAAAGCTGAATTTTCAGCAGCCTTTGCTCCACAAGATCCTTCAGAAATCAGTCTAATTTGCTGATTTGGTGCTTAAGAAACATTTCTTATTTTTTATTATTATCAATAAGAATTTTTTTTGTTGAAACCATGTTAGATTTTTCAGGTTTCTCTGATTTTTTTTCAGAATTATATGATTAACAGAAAATTCTAAAGAACTTATATTAATTATTTTGAACTTTCTGTTAATCAAATAATTCTGAAAAAAATCAAAGTAACCTGAATATATATTTGTCCAGCATGAAAGACTGACTGATAGGTCACAGCTAAATTAATTAAAATTAATTAAATTAAAAAACATCACTAAAAGCTTTATTTTTCACAGGCATGATATTTAAAATTCTGTAACCATTTCCTAGTGAAATTTCAATACATGGAAAAACTGATTAGAAAACAGCCCTGATCTTTGCTCCTGAGAAGACGGCGTAAAAAAAAAAAGCCAGCAGAACTTGTCCATCTCTTCTACTACTACTTTCTTTTTTGCTTATGATAATCAACTAAAAAGCCTGTTTTTATACCAAGTATATAATAGCTGATGCTTAAAAATGTATAAAAGTCTAATATGCTAGTGCCTATATCTCATACAATTATAGAGCCTCACCATCATCCTAAAATAAAAACTTTGTGAGACATGCATTCAGATAAAAAAAAGGCCCAAAACACCTTTGATTAAAAGTCTTATTACAAATGCTCTCAACAGCATGGTGATAATAATAAATGATGCTGTATCTCTGCATAAATTGTCCTTCCTTGGAGCTGAGATTCAGGAAATAATGCACTGCATTCCTAACCATATTTATACACAAAAGGTCTCAGCATATCCTGTTGTTTGTGTGCAGGGCTCAGGGTTGAGTTATTGCTATAGCTGTGTTAGCTGACTGGATGTGTTCCACCTGAGCAACGGTCTGATCACTGAGCGCTCGGACTGAGCTGTCTGCGTGGTTCTGGCCCGGAACAGTCTCAGAGTATCTACATTTTGCAGAGCCACACTGACAACGGAAGTACTTTTTCTTGATTTGCCAGTAGGGATCACCATAGTCAAACCTGATGAAAGAGAAAAGAAAATTCGTTTTAATTCAAGCAACCTGGGGAATTACTTTGATTACAAATGTGTGGATAAATTAAACTAACAATGAGGGGAAAAAAAGAGCTGGGAAAAAATTATGAAGGTTTACCCAAGCTCGTCTCCAGCTTGAATAGCCTTGCTTGCATAGAGTGCAATTCGAGGAAAGCGCATGTCCTGGTGTTTGGTGAACACCCGCACCGGGAATAGATTGGGTTCGCAAAGGTGATTCATAAACCTACTAACATTACCATAAAACTGGGCATCAATGCAGTAGACCTCTCCAACCTAGAAAAACAAAATCTCCATTAAATACACTATCCAAATGACGTGTGCTTGAGCTCCATTCACATTTTAATATACATTAGCGCCCCCTGAAGGTGACATGTATGAAAAGCATTCACTTGCGAAAATTACAATCTTACCATTTTTGCACAATTTTAACAAGACAAACCTCTAAACTTGCCTTGTTGTCTAGGTTGAACATGTACGAGTCATTTTCCCGAGCATTAGCTTCCCCATCTGAAATGATTTCACCTGCAAACCTGCACACAGAGAAAAATCCTCAGGGCACAAGTATTGGACAGAAACAGCATGATATTAATCACGTCTGAATAATTGATAATTCCCCTAATGGCTTTCATTTTCGTAGCACATTTGGCATTAAATTAATATCCTTGACACTGGAGTCAGTAGGAGAGTTCTTTAGAATGCAGGCATAGCTTCCTTAATATGCTGCACGTAATTTTTTCATGTTAAAATAATTCAACACCAGGTTAACATGAAGAGACAACTATAATAATAGCCATTTAAAATGGGCCTCAGCAAACTTCCAAGTAAGCCTCAAGATAGCAAAAGGATTTTTTAAAAATCCAAAACTGATGGATATATTCTAGTGCTGTCAAACGATTAATCGCATCCAAAATAAAAGTTTTTGTTAATAAATATACACAGTACACACACATATATTATGTAAACAATAACTTATTATCATATTATTATAACTTAATATTAATTATTTTTTTTCTTTAAAGAACCAGGATTCCTACTGTCCTAGATATATAATTTTAAAAGTGCCATTTCGACACCTGGATTTTTTTTAAATGTTTTTTTTTTTCCTAGTTGTGCCAAGCCCTAAAAAATGACTGGGTAGAAACTATGAGCAAAAAAATTCCTATCCAGTAAATAACAAACAACTGGGAAAAGTTATAAAGCCTTTGAATATTGTTGTGGATTTGTGTTCATTTTTGTGTATTTTTATTAATGTGTAAAGCAACTGATGTAAAGAGAGGGTCATACTCGCATACGAAAGTTCCCTCAGGAATATCCTGCAGTGCTCGGACCCCCCAGCCCATCCTCTCAGTCCTAAACACCTGCAGTCTGACCCTAAAGACGAGAAAATTATAAAGTTGTGAGAAAAATGTAAGTGCATAAATTTAGAGTTTACAACATATTTAGGGAATACGCAATAACACATCTATTAGTTATATTACCGAAGGCCATTCTGTATCACTCTATTTCGGCACGTTCTCCAACAGGAACAGGCATGGTTACACTCAAACAGGAAGGGTGGATCATCCCTGCAGAACTCTTTCAACAAGCGGCCATCCTATGCACCAAGAAATTATAAATGCTACTAATTTTAATAATAATCATTATACAAATCCCCCTCTAATCATATGGTCATACACAGCACAATCATGGTTGGTGACTATTAATATGTTGTGAGAGCTGGGATTGGCAACATCTATTGTTTATGTCACTCTATCATTACCATGTCATTTATTCTGCTAAAATTAATAATTTAGCACTAGTAGCATCTTACCTTGTCATACCAACAGCGCATGCTGAGCTGGCCACAGATACAGCTGCCTGACGCACAGTCATCTTTACAACTGCAGTGCTATTCCAGTGAGAGAGAGAGAGAGACAAGCATTTCATAAAGCTGTAATAACAGCATTAACCTTGTTATGGCTTTTGACACTACGATTCTAAGCCTCTTACCTGTAAGTGTGTTATGTTCTCATCTATATTCACTTGAGAGGTAAAGCAGTTCTCTGGAACATATTTGAAGTTACTGGGACAGGGCTCATGGTCCATCCCATTCACACACATCACAGGGACGTCCTCATAGCCTCGGGACACATCTCTAAAACACAACGCACAACAGTCCCACAATCACATAAAATATTTACCCACATTCTGTGCCAAACATTCAATATATTTTAAGGCCATTCTAAGTCGCACATGGGCACGACAGCTGCTTTTGAAGCTTGCGCAAAGAGAAGCAGAATGAAGACTCAGAAATGTGTGGATACTTTAGATTTCTTGAAGTCAAGCTAAATGAATGGAATATTGATTCAGCTGTAGCCAGTTTTCACTGGTTTTCAGTATGGAGTGGACCCGAAGCTGCAAAAATCTTGTTTGAAAAGACGTAGTACTGAATCTGATTAATTCAAGATAAATACTGCATTACAGTACACGGACTTGAGATTCATAGCAGTTTCAATAGAGAGTCGCAAATTCTAACTTACAAAACATACAGAAGCCACAAATTATTATTTTATATAGTTTTCTCAAAGTGCAACTTTTTGTGTATTATAAATATTAAAAATAATAATTAGTTAGCGTTTAACAACAAACTTGTCTTGCCAAAAGTTTCCCCGAGTTTCACTTGAATAATCTCAAGGAAAAAAGACAGTAAAAATTAAAATATCAGTGGTTCTTCACCAAAGGGCTGAGGCCCACAATTAATATATTAAACTAATGTAACTATTTTACTCTATTTTCTATTTAATTTTCCATTTTGTATTGAAGATCGTGCATTGAAACTTTTGGAATCATAAAATCAAGAGCATTAACTTAATATCAATATTCACAGTTTTTGTTAAGAAAAAAATAATTCCAGCACAAATACCAGAAATATTTTAGCCTCTGTGTGGGGGCTTGGAAATTTTCCATTTTGTATTGAATATCGTGCATTGAAACTTTTGGAATCATAAAATCAATAGCGGAGCATTAACTTAATATCAATATTCACAGTTTTTGTTAAGAAAAAAATAATTCCAGCACAAATACCAGAAATATTTTAGCCTCTGTGTGGGGGCTTGGAATATTGCATTGGACTCACAATGAAAAACTGTTTTAAGACAGTTGTGTTTATATTTTGCTTAAGCATGCCAGCAGGAAGGATCCATTTATATTTCCAAACATTTCTTTTGCCATTAACTGTAATAATACAGTAAGATATTTGTATGCACAAAGAGCCTCAAAAACCGAGATCTGAGCTCACCATCATCAAGTCTGTCGGCGATTACATAAAGAGACAGAAAACAGACTAAACCCATAAGAACTCTAGAAGCATCTACAAGATGCTTGGAAAAAGAATATGTAACAAAATACTGTTTGTGATATTACCCTGCAAAACATACAGATTTAAGCCTAGTGTTCTTGCATTACCTGCAGAGGAGTCTTTCTCTAAGGCTGTCTCTGCCTCTCCTAGCATCTGTCAGCTTCTTATTGGTGTTGAGGATTGTCCACATCTTGGAATTTACACTACAGCAGTCCAAAGGAGTCTCACCGTCCTTGTTGTTCAGATTTACATCTGCTCCTCGAGACAGAAAAAGCCTAGAGACAAAGCTTAAGATTAGTCCTTTTACAACTGACAGTTTCAGCCACAACCCTTTGTCTGAATTGAATCTGAATTCTCTATAGTTTACCTTCCATAATTGACACTGATATTTTACGATCTCTGGTATAAAGTGCTATAGAAATAAAGGTGACTAGAAAAAATAATTGGAGACACTGTAATGCTCAATATGGTGGTCAATATATTTTGGAAATGTCATTCATTGAAGCAGATTTGAGCTGTACTTGTATGTCTTTTGCCTACAGAGAAACCCAGTTTGTTACCCGGATGGCCTCAAGTGAACTGACTTCCCCTAAAGGGACCTTGGGTTGACCATGAATAGTTCCTTTATATTTCAGTGCTCATAAAGGGTCTTGCTCCCAGTTATCTAGGTATACTCTCTTTGTTCTACACTTACATAACACAGTCCAGCTGGTTCTGTCTGACAGCAATGTGAAGCGGTGAGTCTCCATGGATGTTCACAGCATGTAGGTCAGATCTCTTGTCAAGCAGCAGCTGAGCGATCTTATCACAGCCAGAGAATGCTGCCCAGTGGAGACAGACATTCTCCTCCTAGATAACACATCAGACCACAAGCAAAATTCATCTCGTATCTATCATACATAAGCACTAGTGTTCCAAAGTTTGGGAATGGTAAGATTAATGTCACATTATCCTAAAGAAATCATTCTAATATGCTGGCTTGGTGCTCAATTACATTTCTTTTTATTATCAATGTTGAAAACAGCTTAATTTTTTTCAGGATTCTTTGCTGAATATAGAGTTCAAACGAAGAGCACATGTAATCAATTTAAAGCCTTTTTGCTGAATAAAAGTATTAACTTACTAATATTCTGAAGGGTAGTGTATATGTTCAGCCAGAAATCTATTAACTGACTTACAATCAGATCATTCAACATGCAATTATTTGCAGGCAATGCATCCGAGCAGTCTGATTTTAACAAACAAGGTGAAAAAAGTGCATCAAAAAGCTGAAATATTGAGATGAAACTCTCACAGACCTTATCTCTTATTTGGACATCAGCTCCCGCTGAGATCAGCATCTTCACCTGCTCTAGATTCATGTTCTCAGTTGCCCAGGTAAGAGGAGCCCAGCCGCCATCATCCTGACCAAAAGAAGAAAACCCATAATCTTCAATTATTAAGCACTCCAGTATCTATACAGCATCTAAGAATGGGTAGTTTTGCTGTCAAAAACTCCTTACAACATCCTCACAAAACTCAAATTAAAATGTAATTTAAGGGTAAATAAATATGGCATGTACACAAAAATGTATATTCTATATTTCAAACTCATGCACATTGTTACCTTACAGTTGACGTCTATGGATGGCATGGAGACAAGATACTGCAGCACACCTGTGTGTCCTCCTCTGGCTGCCAAGTGAAGACATGTAGAGCCTCTCATATCCTGTGAAGAATGCATAAATCACTAGATTTTAATCATGCAAATACCTTGCATACTGAACACATGGCATACAGTGGCTTAGGGATTTCACTACCTCATTAACTCAATGGGTAGCATGAGATAACTAGCAAAACATTTTGTATTTCACAGTTGATTGACAGATGAAGGCTGGCTATCGTACCTTATGCCCAGTAGAAGCACCAGCTTTCAGTAAGTATTTCACTGTTTCTAGATGATTGTTCTCACAGGCATACATCAGAGGAGTTCTCTGCTCAGCATCACACATGTCCAGGTTCGCACCAGCCTATAGAGATAAAGAAAACATTTATATTACTAAACTTCAATATTAAATAAGAGCATATTATACTGGATGTACTCATGGAAAATGGAATATTAAAAAAACAATAAAATATAAAACATAATAAATTAAATAAAAGAAAAAAAAAAAGAATTTAAGTTAATACCCATGTTATACAAAGTAATTGCATCGGGTTCTATTACAACTGTTTTCAAATGTTATCATAAATAAATAAAAAAAATGTTTCTTGAGCACCAAATCAGCTAATTAGAATGATTTCTGAATAATAATGTGGCACTGAAGGCTGAAATTATTCAGCTTTGCCATCACAGGAATAAATTACATTTATTAAACAATTAAAATAATAATAATAATACATATTTAAAATATTAATATTTCTCAATATTATTGTTTTTACTGTATTCTACAAAATTTTTTAGCCTTGCTGAACATAAGAGACTTCTTTCAGTAACATAAACTTACAGACCCTAGGCTTTCGAATGGTAGTGTATATTAAGAAACATAGATCATTTCTGAATGTGAATGTGTGCTATTAGCGTAAGCAGTACCTGCACTAGTATATGGCAGATCTCTTTATGTCCCTCCTCAGCAGCACAATGCAAGGAAGTCTTCCTCTTCTCACTGTCCATCCGCAAATTTGGGTCCACACCTTCCACTGATTACCATCAAAACAATAACAGTTATCAATCATAAAGCATCTAGTACATCATGGCTTGAATTTCTTATACCTTTAAAAATAGGCAATGCTTGTTTTAAACTATAGGCAACAAAGCAAATCCACAAATCATCAAGAGTCAAATAAACTATCTAAAGCATTTATTTAATGATATAGGATCAGGACATCACTGATGTACAGGACCAGGTCACAGAGCCTTACTTCCCATCCTCGAGTGCATTTAAAACGCTTTCCAGTGATTCTTTAGCAGGGTCTATCACTCCACCAACAGTGACAGAGTCCAATTTAGCCCTGCTGTAAGACACAATGATAACAGATATACCACAACATAACCAGTGTGAGCAAACACATCACTATATTAGATATGGGAAAAGGTACAGATAAATATTTTCAAACACCGGGGTGCCCTGATTTAAACTTACTCCATTAAGGCGGTGTCTCTTTTGTGCGCGGGCACAGCGGCTGTTGGCACTGCACAGTCAGGTTTGGGGATCGTGACCTCCTTAGCATGACTAGCATCCTCACCGCAGTGAGGGCAGTAGACCTGACCTCTGATCAGAGAGGCACAGCTCCGGTGAAAGCGGTGAGAGATGTTCCCATCTGGCTGACATTCCATAAACGTCCCCTGGATTAGACAGATAAATCGGATACAAAAAATGTAATCAAATAGATGCAGGTTTTTAAAAAACATTTTTAAAAAAATCTTACCAACCGCCAACTTTTGAAAGCTAGTGTATGTTTTACTTACAGCCCTGCAGAAGAAACCACAGCCTGGGCAGCTCTGGTGTTTCACCATGCCCGCACGATGATCCTCGCACAACACCAGCAATGGAATCCTCAGAGAGGGACGCATCATTTGCTGCTTCAGAATCACCTTCCGACATAAACTCAGCTAGAGAGAGGGGGAAAAAAACTCATATTCACTCAAAAATGTTTTTCTTTAATACTTTCTTGAAATTTATTCAAATTTTTACTGATCAAACACATTAGTATAATGCTATCATACATAAAAAGCATATAATACAGTTACTGAATGCAACTGTTGCAGTGGTGTGAATGTAGCTAATGATTTAATTTTGTTATCCTTTCACAGACTGATGTTTTGAAACATGACACATGTTCTACCTTTCCATCAACACTCTCTACAGCCATGCACTTGCCCTCAGCAAGAGTTACTACATCCTGGTTCTTCGGAGCCTCTATGCGGCAGCTACACAGTGGAGGTTCCAACGTGTCATCAGCCTCCATGTTCTCTTTATCCTCCGGCAAACCTGATAAAACACAAACACTTAAGTTCACTTTAGGTACTTGAGGGTGGTTTTCTTACAGTTTTAGCCCTCTGATACTAGAATATCCTAGGCTACTAAACCCTCCCTAATCTGCCATTTCTTTTTCTTTTTTTATTATGATGTATTAAATCAAGCGAACCATATTAAATCAAGCCAATATGCAACAAAAAGTTGTTTATTTTTTACAAAGGGTCTGCGTGTATGTTGCCATGTGGTCTTATTGTCTTACAAAGTCAGAATGCTCGGTCTGAAACCTGCCTCTGCTCATTCTGAGATCAACCTATTGTATAAAAACAAACAGATAGGAAGTATACAGTGCACAGCATAAATGAGTACACCCCCTCTAAAACTTAACAAATTCATCAATTACTCTTTACTTAGAAGACATGTTAGAGTTCTTTGGAGATGTAATGTTCCAACAAGCCTGCTTGATCAATTACCAAAGAAGAATGCCAAAATTATTCAGCAAAATAAGATTTTCTTATCAAAGTGATAAAATATTGTGTTGCAAAAATGAGTACACACCCCTGAAAGTTACTAAATAAAACAAAAAAAGGGTATAGGTTTAAGGCTATTTTTGATCAACAGGTAAGTTTATTGAACCAAAACTTTTAAAGACAAGTAATTTCCTGACAATTAAAAGTGTTATATAGCCCACTGAATCATACTCAGACGTAATGCTGGCAGCAGTGGAACCACTTGGGAGAGAACTGCCAGGTGACTTATTTCTTAGCCTGCTTGATCAATTACCAAAGAAGAATGCCAAAATTATTCAGCAAAATAAGATTTTCTTATCAAAGTGATAAAATATTGTGTTGCAAAAATGAGTACACACCCCTGAAAGTTACTAAATAAAACAAAAAAAGGGTATAGGTTTAAGGCTATTTTTGATCAACAGGTAAGTTTATTGAACCAAAACTTTTAAAGACAAGTAATTTCCTGACAATTAAAAGTGTTATATAGCCCACTGAATCATACTCAGACTTACTGCTGACAGCAGTGGAACCACTTGGGAGAGAACTGCCAAGTGACTTATTTCTTAGCATAAAAGAGGACAATGGTACAAGAGGAATACCAAATTATTATTTTAAGTGTGAAAATATAGCAGAAGTAGCACCAACATTCAAAAACAATGGACTTGTGATAAGGCTCCTGAAATAATCAGGTCTTCACTTTAAGTT